CTTTCACTTAGTAATATGCATTTGAATGTCATCCATCAGGCCAGGAACAGTGTGGCAAATCCTTGTGCTCCTAGTGACTCCAGATGCTAAGGTAGGAGAGTCCTTTAGCTGAGTCTGAAATGAGCCTGACGCCATAGCAAGACCCCACTTCCAGGAAGGCGTTGTCCTCCATGTCTTTTCTTCATGGCTTCCTAGCTCAGTTTCCAAGGTTTTTTGTAATCTTGAGCAAAGCTACTTACTGTGCCACTTTGGTTTCCCTGGCTGGGATGAAATGCCCTGACAAAAAGCAGCGTAGGGAAGAAAGAGTTAATCCTGGCTCACAGCTCCAGTTATTGTCCATCGCGGTAGGTCACATCACATCACATCCATAGTTGAGAGCAGAGAGAAGAGAATTGGTACATGCCTCAGCTACCAACCAATCTCAGTTTCTCACTCACAAAGCTTGGGAATGGTGCCACCACATTCACATCAGGTGTTCTCCCCTCACCCTGTACAACTAAGACACGCCCTGCAGACACGCCCACAAGCCAGCCTGATGGAGACAAGCCTTCTTTGAGACACGTGTTTCCCTGGTGACTCTAGGCCATTAGACCCAACTGTAGCAGCTGCTATAAAACATCATGTGCAGGTTTCTGAGTGAACGTAAATCTTCACCCGTTTGGGGCAACGCCAGGAATCATGGTCAGCCAGAAAACGACCTTCGTTTTTGTAATAGACCACAAAACTTTGACCAACCATTACCATCACCAGGGCCACTCTATGGTGAAGCCAGCATCACTGTTGAGCTGAGACTCTTCTCATGGTCTTCAGTGGAATGAGTCATTTTTTGTTCTTGAGACATTCAAAGGGATGATTGGGGAATTTTCCTAGCCGTGTGTGAGAAACTTCTGAGCCAGAAATAGTGTTATTACATTTTCAGTGAATCTTCTCAGCAGCCTTGAAAGACACGAGCAGAGTTGAATGATAGGTGAGGAAACACAGGGTCAGCTGTGTTCAGTTAGCCTGACCATAGAGCCACGCTGTTGTCTTCTGGCAGAGCTGAACACTACCAGAACTGAGATTCTGGGTCCCATAGTTTTGCTGCTGTCCCACTGGCTGCACTTGTGCATGTATTTAGCTTTTTATCACTCAGAAATTGAAATGGTCCCAGAATCAAAATATGCTTAAGGTTACTTTCATGACAGCACCATCAAAAACATTCTTTTAAAATAAAAATATAGAAAAGTTAAGATGAGGTTTCATTTTCTTGTCAATTATTTGTTTGCTTGTTTTTATCACTGTCTCACTGTGTGTGTAGCTTGGGCTTGCCTGGAACCCATAGCGATCCACTGGCCTCTGTCTCCTTGGTGCTGGGATTAAAGGAATTTGCCACCACACTTGGCAGGATTTCATTTTTACAAAACCAAAATAAAAAAATTGAATTCCCTATTTAATCTTTAGTAGAGTAGAAGGAGAGAGAATGGCTATGGTGGTTGAGTAAGAATGGCCCCCGTAGGTTCATATATTTCAAGGCTTAGTCACCAGGAAGTATTGCTGTTTGAAAGGATTAGCAGGGTTATGAGGGGTGGCCTTGTTGTTGCCAGGCCCAGTTCCTTTCTCTCTCTGCCTGTGGATCAGGATGTTAAGGTCTCAGCTATGGCTCCAGTTCCTGTCTGCTGACCACTTTGCTCCTGAAAGACCCCCCGAAGAGGTACTTTCGTAGAAGGAGACCCGCACCCAGGAATCAGCGAGACCACGAGCTTGGATGCAAAACCGCAAGAGGCTTTATTGGAGATACGGGTACCCGGGCGACTTAGCTTCTGTGAGGCCAAGCGCCCCGAGCCAAGGGAAAGGGGTCCTTATATAGGGAAAAAGGCGCAAGCTAGGAGCAGGGATTCTATTGGATAATTCTAATGAGGCATTGTACAGAGCTATTCCCATTGGTCAATGTATATGAGGCGCTATACAGGGTTATTCAAATGAGGCAAAGTACAGAGTTATTCAAATGAGGTGAAACATAGAGTCTTTCAAATGAGGCGAAATACAGAATCATTTCTATTGGATGGTTCAAATGAGACACAGAGCCATTCCAGATCAGCATATTCTCAAGGTCTGGTGTCTGGTACAATAGACTTAATTCCCCCTCCCTCCGCGTCCAGATGGCTGATCTTGGGGGCGGAGACCTTGGGACGGTGTGTTTCTCATCGGGCGGGGGCTCAGGGGCAGGGCTCCAGGCCGGCTCACTTGGTGTTTGTTCTCGTGCCAGCCCACCTGGTGCTCGTTCTCGGGCTGGGCGTGGGGCGGGTGGCGGGGGAAGTGGAAGCCGCCGGGGGTGGGGATGGGGGAAGCCGACAGGAGGAAGAGGAGACAAACTTGAGAAAGAAAGGGCTAAGGGGCAGGGGTCTTTCACTCCCTATCATGATGATAATGGACTAAGCCTCTGAAACTATAAGCCAGCCCCCAGTTAAGTGCTTTCTTTTATAACAGTTGCTGTGGTCGTGGTGGCTCTTACAGCAATAGAACACTGACTAAGGCAATGGCCTTTACTCAGCACAAAGGTTTTCTGGCACTTACCATGAGTTAATTATTTTCATAAACTGATTTTAAGAGAACTATAATTAGGAAAGTTGGAGGCTACGCCACTGTTCATCATACATTGAAGGATGCCTTTTCACTTTCATAATTTAAACCTTACGATGTCTTAATGACAATATTTTATTTAATTCCAGAGTCAGTTGACTAGTAATTACATGAGGTATACAATAAAATATTTAGTTGATATGATTAAAATTAACTTATATTGCTGATAAGACTCAAACAACTGTGTTTATCAAATTATTGATATGAATAAAATGTGGATTTTTACATATTAATCTGGAGGGTTGGCAAGATACCTCATCGGGTAAAGGGACTTGTTACCAAACCTGATATCCTGAGTTCAATCACCCAAACCCATGAAATGGATGGAAAGAACCAACTTTCGAAAGGTGACCTCTGACCTCAACACATATGCCTTACAGTGTGTACACATAAATAAACGTAATCAAATATTAATATGGAAAGGTACATATTTTCTTCTTCTCTGTGTGTGCACTAGAGACCAAACCCAATGCTTTTACATGCCAGCCAAGTATCCCACCAGTGCACTGCCCCCCAACCCTATAGTTATTTTGGTGGGAATTATGTGTATTTATTAGAGGGGCCACTCATACCATGACACACATATGGAGATCAGAGAACAATTGACAGGAGTTAATTCTATTCTTCTGCCGTGTAGGTTCTGGGGATCAAATTAAGGTCATCAGGTTGGCAGCAGATGCCTTTATCCTCTAGGCCATGTTGTCAACTCAGTGCTACATATTTGGAACAGGATATGACTCTGAGTCCAGGCTGACCTTCAACTTGCTAGACAGTCTAGGCTGATCTTGAGTTAGCAATCCTCCTACACCTGCCTCCCAAGTACATGTACGCACCACCATGTGTAGCCTAGAGGATGTTTCCTGTATAATTATTTCCATCTGTTAGTATGGTCTAGTGTGACTTGCCCCAACCAAAACTCTTGTAGAGGCTTATCTCCTTGATGCAGTTCTTTCTATCAGTGGTGAGACCTCTGGGAGGTGTTAGGTCTCGGGATCACCAGCCTCATTAATGGTTTTCTCAAAAGATTGGGTTAAATGTCAAGAAACCAGGCTAGATGTCTCAGAATGGGTGAGGTTTTATAGGAGTTGGACTTTTCCTTAGGACAGACTGTTACAAAGCTGTTACCCCTTCACCCCTATTTACCCTTTCACCCCCTCTGTATGAATCCACTTGCTGTTCACGCCGTTCTTGCTGTGTGATATCATCCACCATGTAAAGCCACATAACGTCCTGAGGAGATGTTTCCAGGCTGTGAGCTAAACAAATTCCCTTTTCCTTACACTTTCACCTCAAGTATTTTGTCACAGTGACACAAAATGATTTAAGGCATGATTATTTTTCAAGTGAGAATGAGACAGATCTTGTATTTTTAACATTAATATATTATGACTTTAAAGAAAGAAGTATTTTTTATGTAAGTGACTCTTCTGAGGTTATTTTGAAGCAAGCACATTTTTATTTACATGTGTTAACTGTGGACACTCCAAGAATGTTTCTATACAGTGTATAGAGAGGCTTTTTGTCATCACCAAAATAAAAGTTCATTCTCCTAAAGTTATAATTTTGTGCTTAGCCTAGCATATAGTTTGACCAAAAACTATTCCCATGGGTGTAGTACTATTCAAATATTTCTCTCTAGATGTAAAACTAATAAAACTATCTGAGACACTACTGAAAAGAGTAAACTGTATTGCAGGACATAGAAAATAGAATAAATGCAGAGTTATGTATATTAGTCCTTGTGAAGATGGTAGTGGCAAAATTATTCATCTCCCCCAGTGAATCTGTAAACTGGGTTTACTACTAGGCAAAACCCAACAGACTGATGAACTTCCTCAGAATGCCTACAAGTGAGTAAAACTACAGACATCTCAGACAGATATAGGGTAGGAGAGCAAGGGGGGCACAGCTTTCCTAGAGCACATGTTAATTGATATCATCCAAACAATTGACATGTTGGCATGGGAAAGATTATTGCATCAGGTTAGAGAAACCTTGTGCCAATGGAAATTCAGCATGTGATAGAATTGCTTTTATAAAACGAAGGCAGGAATGAGAGCAGACCATTTGGTAAAAACTGACTTTCTGTATCAGAGAAGCTAGTTCCAGATGCTTAAATAGTATGATGAAAAACACATAACTCCAAAAGGAAAAGGTACCCCTGTCTCTGTCTCTGTCTCTCTGTCTCTCTTTGTCTCTCTTTGTCTCTCTGTCTCTCTCTCTCTCTCTGCCTTTTGTATTTATAATAAGAAAATGCATTTTTAGTGGATAATAGTGCTATATTCACACAATGGAATTCTGTTATAGGTATAAATAATAAAAGAAATAGGATTCAACCCCAATACATCTCAAAACAGTGATAAGCATAAAAGCAAATTGTGGAAGGTTGGACACACCAGGACCATTTATTTATATAAAGTCTAAGTATACACAGAACTGGTATTTAACTCTGGGAAATTATTTCAGAGGGTCTTGGAACATCAAGGACCCTTCATTCTGGTATTTCTGTAAATTGGAGATTCAGAACAGTTTACTTGAGCAGGGTGGAAACTCGTGAGGCTGCAAGCCTATGTCATCTAGGGCTATAGTCGTTTGAAGACTCGATCTGGGCTGGAGAATCCAATTCTAAGATTGCTCACTAATGAGGGAGATGAAGTTGTTTGTGGGAGGTGCCACTTCTTCACATAGGCTTCTCTGTAGAGCTATAGGCTTGTCTTCCTGGTAACCAGCTTCTCCCAGAGCTGGGTATCTAAGAGAATGAGACAGACCCAGTCACTTTTGGCATAGCCTCAGAAGTTACACATGATTACTTGTACACTCTGTTAGTTGCACAAGCAAGTCCTGACTTGCTAATGATAGAAGTAGACAGTTGTGTGACTACCTATGGGTGAGAGAGCTGTCCAAATAAGACTTCTGGGAGGCTGGCTATGATAATATATAATATATATTAGAGAGAGAGAGTACTACATGCTAATCATGGACAGGCATGTATTCATGCAGGTATATATGTATGTATTTCAGGTAAGAGTAATTAATACAACTTTCAGAGTTGTGATCTCCTTTGGAGAAAAAAAAAATCACCCTGGTTCAGTGTGGATAATTGAACCTGAACAAGACTAGAATGAAGTCATTCATAGAAGAAAGAAATGGTAGCAACCTAGACTAGGACAGTGGTGGCAGAGAGAACTGAATGCATTAGAGATGTTTTTAAAATAGAATGAAAAGCTTGCTTCTTTTATTTCTACTGTAAATTATTGTCTTGCCTGCATGTATGTCTGTGTGAGGGTGTCAGATCCCTAGGAACTAGAGTTACAGACAGCTGTGAGCTGACATGTGGGTGCTAGCAACCGAACCTGGGTCCTCTGGAAGCAGCCAGTGTTCTTAACCACTGACCCATCTCTTTAGCCCAAAATAGAATGAAAAGTGATGGTTCCTGATTAGTAGGAGAGTAGCAGGTTCCAGCATGAGGGACAGTCAGATACGTGTGACGATAAGTCTTTCTGCCTTCACCGAGTTCTGCCCGCCGCCACATTAGAGCCCAAGTAACACAGAGAGACTTATATTAGGTACAATGCTGCTGGCCAATGACTAGGATTTACTTGCTAGCTCAGTCTTAATTATCAACCACAATTAATCTATATATTTTATATTAATCTATATATTTTATAAGACTTACCTGACTGAGGACACCGGCGGAATACACCCTGTCTTCCTGGCAATGACATGGCAACTGCTTCTTACTACATTTCCCAGAATCTCCTTCTCTCCTAGTCCCACCTATCCTGCTTTCCTATTGGCCAACAGTGCTTTATTTATCAACCAATAAAACAAACATATACACAGAAGGACCTCCCCCATCATCTCCTCTTTTCTGTCTAAATAAAAAGGGTTTTAACATTAACATAGTAAAATATATAACAAAACAGTTATCAAGAAAGAACTATAGTTACAATAGTCCATTAACATTTAGCAAGATTTAAAGAAAATATCATCTGTCTTATCTTTATGAGTCTAAAGTCTTATATGTAGCTTATCTTTTATAATAACTAAAGAAAACTATAACCATAACTATCTGTCTTCAGCTCCACCAAAGACCACAGAAGGATAATATATAAACTCTAGATCTAACAAAGACATCTCACTACCTGGACAGTCACCCAAAGTGCTAAAGTAAGCAAGTTGCTGGCTGAAGTCTCCACTTGTTTTAGCCGCCCAGCACCATATGTGATCTAAGAGAAATGATTGTTGAAACAGACGCTGTAGTCCATGTCTGTAACCCTGGCACTCAGAAGGCCAGGAAGGAGGACTAAAGAATGAATTAGACTAACAATGAGAACTAGATTGCATTTGATCCAACTGTGACACCTAAGGAGTTATTATCTAATCTTGTTAGAATTTAATTCTCTTAGCTGAAGAAAAAAAGTTGTTGAAGAAGAAGTCATGGTTCTCTGGCCTCCTGACACTAAAACCATATAATTGTTTCTCACTTTTGTGGTGCAGAGTGTTACCAAAAGTGGGCAATGTGTGAAGAGATCATAAGCCACAGAAATCATCTGTCACATGCTCTTTGGTTTCAGGGAGCTTTGCAAATCATACCCTACAGGCACTGACTTGTTCACTGTTCCCTTCCACATGGAGCCCTCAAGACACACAGCCTTGTTCATGAAGTGGCATTTGATCTATAGAGATTTTACTTTTCTTTTGAACAATAACCAAACCGTGTAAACTATGGAATGGTTTGGTGGTGGTGGCTGATTGGTTGATTGGTTGTTTGGTTTTTCTAGTCCTGATCTAGAACTTGCTGACCGTGAACTGATCCTCCTTGCTCTACCCTGAAAATTCTGGGGTTCTGTACCACCACCCTAGCTGGTGAGGCTCTGAGGGAGAATTGTGTGGGGTTTTTGGGGGGGAGGGGATAATCACTTGGGTTTTAAACATTTGAGCAAATAAGCATGTGTGTTTTACCACAGACCTTCCTTCTCCCATCTTCTCCCCTCTCCACCCCACCCCTCCCCACCCTGCCCCACCTCACCCCAACCCACAGGTGTTGCTTTGCTCCCAATCTACATAGCCCCCATGTTCAGAGCTCCTACACTGCTCTTCTTAGCCTACATAATTCCATACATTCTGTTTTATACTTAAAGCTCTTGTCACATTCTGACTGGCTCTAAGTGTTTCTGGCGGCAGCCCTGTGACTTCCAAGTCTCTTTGAATCGACACTCTTGCTGAACATTCTTATTCATCCTTGTTTCAGTAATATGGAAGTCACAGCAAAGGCCACTTTCAAATCCTGGTTCTGGAGCGTAGTAGGTGCTGTGGCCCTCCCTGTAAAACCCGTTGTGATGGTTCTCTTCAAGCAGCCTTTTCTCAGCCTATTGTTAAACTTGACACACTTTGGTAATTGTCCTTCTAGATTACTAACTGAGCAATCTAACATTTACATTGCAATCCAGTGTGTGGGGATTCTTTTCAAAGCAGTATTTTTAATGAAGGTTGTGTGTTCCATGCAGAGCTGCTGAAAGTTTTCCTACTTTATTCCTTCAAGGGGCTTCATATTCTTTGAAGGAAAGCAGTAAACTGGGTGCAGATCTTCAATCTCCCTGTCGACTTCATCTCAGATGTTTTAAAGTCAGTAACCTCTAGACACTTAATGTTTTAATGAAATGTTCCAAACGTTAGCCAAATAATGCTCAAAGAACTCTAGCTTTTATTTAAGTTCCCTTCTGCCTCCTTTAGACATCTGTGGTTAGCTGGTATTTTGCATAACAGAAAGAATATAATTGCAGTAAGGATGCTAAATGAATAAGTCAACTACTTAATTTACTATGATAACATCATTGCTATCTATAGAAGAGACAGGCCTGCTTACATATCAGAGGATCTGAATGCTTGGTTAAGGATTCATTTTGAAAAGAAAAATGATAACCCTTTTCAAATACATTGAGATGTTGAAAATCTTTGCTGTGTGTTAAGTTGTTGACCCTATTCCCTTTGGGTGTGTCCTCAATTTCTTTTACTTTCCATGTCAAATTTTAAATCATGGGAAAGTCTGCCTTGCTACAGACAGCTGCAACATATACAACCTATCTGTGACAACAATTTTCAAACATCTGGAAAGCAAGCATGATCCTATGACCCCAGCTAAAGGCAAACAAATGGCTACAGTCATTTCCTCAGTTTCTCAGCAGGAGGCAGCTTCTAGACTATAGCACAAGAGAAAACAGGCAGGCCCAGGTCTTCTAGCTGAAATGGAGGAGCAGACCATGGTAACTGAACAAACGTTGCTAGGTAGCTGGAATTGTGACAGTGACCCTGAGGGCAAAGCTGTGAAGAGCCAGGTCCTGGTCTTCTAGTTGTGGGATTGTGGACAGTGGTCCTGAGGAGGGTCTCTGAAGACAGTACTCCTGAACTCTACACAAGTTCCCATAAGTCTGGCTAATGCATAAGAGTAACTAGAAAACTTGGTCAGAAGTTATTTTTACCAGGAAACAGAAAATGAATGGATCTCAGTGTCCATTTAAGGCCAGACATCATTTTCTCTTCCTCCATCCAGAATAAAGGACATCATCACCTGCATCCTTAGACACTTTGACGTTGCCTGCATCAGTAGACACTAGGTAGAGATTTCCAGAAAGATCACCTAAAGAGTAGCCCCACAATAAAGGATTCTCTACCTCTGCCTTCAAAGATTTGATCTTGAAAGGGTAAAATTATTACATAAGCAATTTTACTCTACTCTAAATGCAATGATCAGCAATACAAAATTGAGAATATATAGCCAGTGACCAAAATTAATTAGACATGGAGCAACAGAACAGCATCCCCCAATTCAGCCTGCAAAGACCCAGAAATGACAGAGAAGTCAGTAGCCAACAGTGTTCAAATGGCTGTTGTAGCTATAATCATTAGATTTTGGGGGGGGGAGGAAAAATGTGTAACATGAAAAGGAATGAAACTATAAGAAAATTCATGAATTTCTGGAGATTATTTTTTTATACCTGAAATTTAAAAACAGGACACAGAAGGAAAAAGAAAAATACAGAAAAATACAGAAACACAAAAGGAAATATATAGAAGGAGTTAACAAGAAGATAGACACTGTAGAAGAAAAGATCCACTAAAATATGTAGCATGTAAACTGACCTGGAAGCTGAGAGGGGAAAGAAACCTGGAATATATGGAGAAGGGTTCAGCAGTCATATGATTGAACACAAACACAGGACTTTCGGCAAGTGGGGTGGAAAGAAAGATTAAAGAATGGCCAGATGCTTGCCCAATTTGGTGAATACTATGAATGCACACAGATCCTTTCCAAGTATAATAATCTTAAAGGAAAACAAGGCATGTCGTAATCTAACCACTGAAACCTATGTTAAACATGAAATGTGAAAAGCACACAGGAATGTAGATTTATGTCACGTAGAGGAATAAAGATGCTACATGCCTGAACTTCTTATTTCATGTAAGACAAGACAATTCAGTTAATTCTTCAAAAAGTGCCAAAAGGAAAAAAATAATCTGTCAACTAGATTTTCTTTTACATACTAAAAATAGCTCTCTCAAAAGTCAAGGTGCAGTGACTTTTTCAGACATACAAAAATGGAAAGAACTCTTTGCCAGTGTATTTGTGTAACAATGATATTTAAGGGGGTTCTTTGGACAGAAAAGAAATGACTTAAGAGTACTGAATGTAATATGAATGCTTTGTAAATAGTCATTATTTTATTTAGAGAATAATGTACATTTTGTTCAGTATAGGCACAAAGATTTCCTAAATACTGATTTGCAGGTGGCTGAATCTGCCACAGGTAGACACTGGCTGTCCAACAGAAACAAACGTTCCACTCAGAGGCTTTTAAACCAGTAATCACAGAAGCTTTATTAATAGACTACAAACAGCCCACTTTCTATTAGCAGGTGTGAAGATAAATTGCAGTGGGTCTGTGCATCCAAATAGTACTTGGCAGGATGAAGATACTAGGGTGAACCCATTACTTTGCACATTAACCTAAAAATGTAATTTAAATACAACGAATTAACTACAATTGCAAATAGCATGGATGCGTCTCATAACCTTGCCAAGGGAAGGACACCATATATGGAGAGCTGTGAGTCACATAGCTCCAGTAACATACTACAGAATCAAATACAGTAGGCTCTAAAGACAGACGCAAGAGGGACTTGTTGGTGGGTGAGAGAGCCTGAAGGAATGACGATGACATTCTTGATCTTCAGACAGAACTCATCAGATGTCCATTGAAAATAAGAATTGTTGAGGTTTTGCTGTCAAGACATACAAGGAACTTGAGTGTGAGTGACAACTCTAGAAATTTCGATGCTCTCAGAATCTCTGGAACAGGTTCTGATCTAAGTTTAAGGGGTATGAAGCTTGTGAGAGTGATAGGAGGGGCCTTTTGGTTCCCAGAGGGAGCTCATTATCACCCAGTGATCAGCTTGTTGAGTCTTCTGGGTGGTTTGTTTTGTTCCTTCCTCACAAGGTCTCTGAGAGTTAGGAAACCACTCTCTGTGTGGGGGAAAAAAAGTGAAGCCCATAGAAGTTACACAATTCCCAAAGATGCTGAGCCAAGATCCAATCCCAAATTTTACTCCAAAACCTATTTTCCCCTCACTCTGGCATCATCTTTCAATGTTTAGCTGCTAATGTGAGGGTTTGAGCTGAAAACTTTGCTTTAAAAATATATCTGAAAATTATTCTTAGAAAAGGTTTTCTGGGATTCATTTATACTAAGGCTCTGTGCATCGAAACTGCCAAAGAAAGAAAAAAGGAAGTAAGTTAAGGAACGCTGTCCATACTGTGTAGTAAGTCCCTCAATTGGTGGCCAACAGTGCTCATCTACTTGCATTTGTCTTGTGAAATTCTCTTGAGCTTTCTGACTGAACTCAAGGGGATGCGCGTGCGCGGGTGCGCACACACACACACACACACACACACACACACACGAATGGGGCTGATTTCTGTTTTAACACATTACACATCATGTTATGTAACTGAATGTTTAGATATAGTATGCCTTAAGCATCAGTCCATCATACTGTAGAAGAGCCTCAGTTATTGGTAGACTTTGGGAAGAGTTTTTGAAAACTCTGTGTCCTAAGATTGACATACCTCCTACAGTAGGCTGTGTCAATCATCCCCTCCTTTGGCTACTTAATAAAACCTTGCCTGATAGGACCAGGGCTTGGCTCAGCCATTCCAAGAGCACCCTGTGCTGCATTCCACAAAAGCCTCTCCTTGGCCCACTTGGAAGAAGGCTCTTGTGTATTTTTCTATATCTGAAAAAACAGTCTCTTGATCTGTTTGATCTCTCATGAATCTGTCCCTAGACTAACCCTAAAAATTCATATTCTTAAATCTTCTTTAAAAACATTTTAAGTCACGCTAATGGTGGTCCCACCACAGGTAGGAATGATGATGCGATTTTGACTTACAGTAAAACCTAACTGTCGTGTGTTTGTGGGTCCTTTTACTCAGATGTGACCGTGGTTTATCAAAATGGGTTACCTGTGATATCTGTGAGGCTACCATCTCGGCGTGAACGCTGCCAATTCACACTCAAACCTATTTCTGACTCTGTTGGTGTGTTTTTACGGCAACTGCAAGAGGAGGACCGGGGAATCGACAGAGTTGCAATCTACTCACCAGGTATAGTAGCCCCCATTTTTAATTCTCACCTCCTCCACATGCCCCACCCCACACAGCTCAGTACAAAAGAATATTGCACTGTTCGTTTTAGAAAACATGGGAGCTCTTGCTTTGCAAGTGTGGAAGACAGAGCCCTTTCTGTCCCAGTGGCCCTCAGGACTATTCAATGTCAGCAGATGTGTGCCCACAGGGAGTCTCATTCAAAAGCAGCTCACATCGAATGCCATCACAAGGACAAGCAGGCAATCACATTTCATGTTATTGAGGCCTCTTGTCATTACCCTAGGAGCAGAATATGTTTTTCCGGTAGTTGAGCCCTCAAATGTTTACCAAAATAGAGTCTATGATTTAAGCATATACAATAAGACACTAAAAACTCTCATTTGATGTGACATCTGTTTATTTAAGTGCCAAAAGAATTGTTTTCACTTTGACTTAGAAAAATCTTTCAAACCTACAGAAAGACTGGAGTCACCAGCTACGACAGCCGCCAACTTCTGTCCTTTGAGTATTAACTTCTGTGCTTTAAACACTGCAAACTCATCCAGTAATATATTTGGCAGAACCATTTGGTACCCTCGATCCCCATCACAGCCTTCCCTACTGAATTAATTAGCAGCTTATTGGTGGCTTGGCTGCCAAGTACCAGGTGATTGAAAGCTCTGAGTCTGTTCCTCCCCCATGAGGTCTACACTGATCTGCTCCACTCCATAGGTGACTCCAGATTCCAGCTGAGCCCTGTGGGTCTATGACCAGCAGTTAATTCACTTGTTCCCTCAGCTGCCGGAAAAGCAATTGTTAAATCATCAGGGCTGGCCTAAACACAAAGAGCATCATTATACAAGCTGGTCTATGTTTAGCATAGGCCTGAAAGGTGTGAGGCAAAGGTTAGCAGAGAAATGGGAGAGACCACTCTAAAGCTATTTGAGATTTGGTGGGTTGGAGGTTGTTGTTGCTGTTTTTTTTTTTTTTCCTGACCATTCTTAAATAATTATGGATCAGTGACTGACTAGTTTCATTTAATATCTTCACAGATGGCGTTCGAGTGGCTGCCTCCACAGGAATAGACCTCCTCCTCCTCGATGACTTTAAGCTCGTCATTAACGACTTAACATACCATGTACGGCCACCAAAGAGAGGTAAAAGCAGCCTTGGTAAGGTTTTGTAAATGTGGGAAGGTCTTTGTAAAGAACTTAGCTTTTCCATGAGTAACCCTGAGAAACAAACATGTGGTCTTCACAGTTTTCGTACAGTGAGCCTGTCTGTGCGCTAAGCCAGGCTTCCACCTTGACACAGGAGTGCGTTGTCATTCCATACCTGAATGTCCTTACCATTTTTTCTCTCTTTACGTGTGTGTGTGTGTGTGGGTTGTGTGTGTGTGTGTGTGTGTGTGTGTGTGTGTGTGTGTGTACAACTCCCAGGAATCAGTTCTTTCCCTCCACCGTGAAAGTCCCTCAGCTTGAATTCAGGTCCTCAGGCTTGGCAGCAGTCACTTGCACCCACTGAACCAACTCACCAGCCTTTCATTTGCCTTGCAGAGGATTTCTTTTGCCTTACAGCTCCAAAGGAATACGTTCATCATGTCAGGGACATATTCTCATATTCTAAGATGAAGCAAATCTTTTTTATGTTTAAACAAAGGGCTTCTCTGGTCTGTTAAACACTAGTAGGAATTAGTTATTTTGTTTCTTTAATGGCTTAAGTTTAGCAGTCTGAAGTCAGTTGTGCAGATGTTCCTTGGCTTCCAGTGTGGTTAGTAAATCCAATGGAGCTGTAAATATAAACTGTATTCAATATACCTGACTTACCAAAGATTATGTCTTTTTTTTTTTTTTTTTTAGACAAGGTTTCACTCTGTAGCCTTGGCTGTCCTAGCACTCACTCTGTAGACCAAGCTGGCCTCAAACTCAGAGATCTGCCTGCTTCTACATCCCTTGTGCTGGGTTTAGAGGCATTCTTTTTCTCTGTAAATGCTCTCTAAGAAGGCAGGCACTGTGACTCAAGACCACTCTATGTTGAAGGACTTAAATAACTCAAACAAAGAGCATTTTGATTGTTTGGAGGCCAGATTCTCTTGTCTAACAGCAGAAAGGGAATGACTGAATATGGATGAAGTGTAGCACTCAGCAAAGTAGACCTGAGTTTCCGTATACAATTGTACAAACTGAGAATTCTCACTGGAAATCATGACTAATCCAATGATTTCTCAGTGTTTTAAATGCGGCTGCTATCAAGCTGGGTGAGGAAAACTAAAGTAGAAACTGATCGTAGGTGATTTGTTTTTCTTTTTCTGTCTCAAAGCTGTGGGATCCCTACCCAGCTTCCCTAGAAGGAGATTGGGCTATGAAGTTTTCAGGGATCAAGAATCTGAAATGTGTGGAGAGAACTGTAACCCAAATGGGGAAATCTGGTAAACTCAGCAGTGTTTTTAAGGAATTTTTTGTTTTGTTTTTGGTCTTTTAAGTCAGTATCAATATAGAGCCCAATCCTACTGTCCCCTCTCCCCCTGTTTGGAGTGTAGGTATGCTCCACCATGTTTGGCTTCTTATATAGTTTTAAAGAATTGTGTAGTGGCTTGTGAGAACTAAAAATACTCAGAATGTTGTATAAACTATGAATTCACACACACCAGGCTCTGTGGACAGAGGACTCATTCATACCGAGTCCAGTATGGCCACATGCCATGTGTACATGGGACAGCAGGCTGTAAGTGTTGTGGATCCTTAGGCACTGACAGCTTTGTGCCTAAGCCAGGGGAACAAGAGGACCTGTATCCCAGGTTGGAACAAGGAGACATGTCATAACAGGAAAGCCTACTTGCCAGTTCTGCGCCTCCTTTAGTGGCCATGGTTGTTCGTCATTTAAGTCTTAAACAGAAGCAGGAATATAGAATATAGAGCAAAAAAGCCTGAAAACTAATTACCTTCCTCTTGTTCTTGGAAAGGAAGAAAAGGTACCCCATGTCACTAGATGATATAACTTTCCCTGCTAAGAAGAATCATTTGATTGGCACTCCTAAAGCCATTTCTCATTTAGCCATGCACAGGAAGTTAGAGACCTGGCTTCTTAGTGATATGATTTGAGGAATGAGGTCGAAAAGGCAAAGTAACTGGTGGTAATGACTGTCTCATTAGAGACCCAGATAGCCAAGACCTCCTCAAATTATGTTTGTGGATAACAAGAATTTCCATGGCTCATTATATTAGTATATCTCTCTGACATTAGTATTCTGGGACCAATAAGTGTATGCAGAGATGTTGGTAAACATGCCATTATTATTTTGTGTGTGTGTGTGTGTGTGTCAGAGAGAGAGAGAGAGAGAGAGAGAGAGAGAGAGAGAGAGAGAGAGAGAAAGAGAAAGAGAGAAAGAGAGAGAGAACCATACATGATTTAAACCAAAGAACTATTGCTAAGCAATTAGGAAAATTTTTATCTTCAGTGGCTTCTCAGGGTCAAGGGTTGGGGTTATTATTGTCACCTGTGCCTTGACAGCACCATAGTGTCATATCATCCTTGTTAGAGCAACCTGACAAAAAAATTGGTAAACTCTAAGTCCACCAAGGCTCTACCAGTGCATAAGCCAAAAGATAACCTCACTTTCAGCCAGGTCTGAGACCTATAACTTATCATTATCTGTTTTTGGTTTTTTTTTGTTTGTTTGTTTGTTTGTTTTTTTTTTTCGTTTTTCTCTGTGTAGCTTTGGAGCCTATCCTGGCACTCACTCTGGAGACCAGGCTGGCCTCGAACTCACAGAGATCTGCCTGCCTCTGCCTCCCGAGTGCTGGGATTAAAGGCGTGCACCACCAACGCCCAGCCTGGTTTTTCTTTTTTTTAATTGTTGTTAGAAGGCATTGTGTTATTTATTATTATTTATTATTATTTATTATTATTAACAAAAAGGTTAGTTTGTTGTTATTATTGTGTAGAATAGATAATACATTCATAAGGCCCAGCACCCAAAATCACCTAATCCCTGCTCCTCAGATACCCGTTTTTGGCACTTATGCCAATATGTACACATGTTTTAGGCAAATAGCAACATATCATACATAATATTTGTGTCATTTGTATCGTGTTTCAGGGAAGCAGAGCCACATGAATATTATAAAATAAAGATTTATGGTAGGGACGTGAGGAGATAGTTAGCCAGTAATGTTCTTGCCTCACAGTTCTCTGAACACATATAAAAAGAATCTAGCATGGGGGCACCAACCCAGTGCTGGGGAGGCAGGGACAGGCAGATCCCTGGGACTCCTTGGCCAGCTGGTCTACCCTAATGGTGAGCTCCAGGCCAATGAAAGACCTTGTCTCAAAGGTGAATGAAGTCCCAAGGATGACACCCAGCTTCATCCTCCAGCATCCCCACACACATGCCTTTGCCTGTCTCTGCCACCCCAGCACACACTCACACAATCACACATATACCCATCCAGACACACCCCAGCACACACACTCACACAATCACACATATACCCATCCAGACACACCCCAGCACACACACTCACACAATCACACATATACCCATCCAGACACACCCCAGCACACACACTCACACAATCACACATATACCCATCCAGACACACCCCAGCACACACACTCACACAATCACACATATACCCATCCAGACACACCCCAGCACACACACTCACACAATCACACATATACCCATCCAGACACACCCCAGCACACACACTCACACAATCACACATATACCCATACAGACACACCCCAGCATACACACACAATCACACATATACCCATACAGACACATAAAAATATTTATGTAGGAGAATGACCTTTAACAAATTATAGCTAGAGAAGAGGAGTCTGAAAGGGGAGCTCGAGGGATCGAGAAAAGTCAGAAATGTTGGAGCTGTGGCGCCATGGGATAACTGGTAGCTCATTAGGGAACCTGGAAGTCCACACACATCCAGATCTTAGTGGAGGCCCGAGATGAAGTGCTTTACTGTAAGTGGAGAAATTCTTGTGGTGTTAAATAGAACTTTCTGGCACAGGGCTTTGAGTTCAATTCCAGTACCAAAAAAGAAAAATCTTTCTGCAGTATTAAAAATGTTATGTTTCTGCCCTGTCAAATATAGTATAAGTAAATCGACTGTAACTGGAGAACTGGATTTTTCAAGTAATTTAAATTTAACCAATGGGAAGTTACAGAATTATTAGTCAGAAAACAAACAAAAAAAAGTTAAGTTCAAGTGGGGTGACTGTCACTAAAACAATGTGTTGTGTTGTTGAAATCACTGAGTAGATTTTGTATTCTTGTTACAAAAAAAAAGTATGTGAAGTAATAAATATCTATATTTAGCCATTTCACAGTGGGTACACATTTCAAAATAACATATTAATGATAAATGTATATACTTTTTACTTGTCAGTTTAAGATAAGTAGTTAAAATTAAACAGAAGCATGTGGCCAGTGATCCCATATTGGACAGGCCATTTTTAGAAGTCTGAATCTGGTTCTGGGCCTGAATTTGCTGTTAAACAACAAATGTTACAGATAAGAGGTAACCTGACACAGTGGGAGAGAGTAGGTGCGGCTGGTATCAGCAGACATCCTGTGTTTGCCCCACTCCCAGCCTCAGCCTCACTCTCAGCCTCAGCCTCATTCACAGCCTCAGCCTCACTCCCAGCCTCAGCCTCACTCCCAGCCTCAGCCTCACTCCCAGCCTCAGCACCCTTCAAGACATGATGCCCTCGGCTTCACTTCCTCCTTCCAAAATCTCACTTAGATTTCCCTTTTGCTTAGCCCTGACTCAGAGCCTCTCAGAGAACGCTATTCCTGGAAACACACTACAGTTTCACACATTGAGCAGGTATAAAGGCCTAAAGGTATAAGGCTTCTCTACCTAGCAGGAGGCTGTGATGACCTCACCATGCAGTCCTTCCCCAAGGCTGTTGTGCTGAGTCTGTCTGGAGGAGTCCTCTCACCATGTCAATGCTTGTTTTATGATTCACTGGCAGAACATGGAGATGTCACCATCTTTTGCCTCAGCTTACATGCAGCATTGCGCGTATGTCGCCGGTGTATATGCGTGTATGTCAGGAAAATGTGTAGAACTGTTGTGATAGAGGGAGTGTGGATCTGAAGTTAAGTTTTAAAGAAGAAAAATATTAAAGGCATTAAAAGAAGTTTTAAAAGATGTTTAGGAGTGTTTCTATGCCTGTAAAATGAGAAAAAGAAGTCTATAACTACATCAGTCTAGCAGAGAGGAAAAAAAAATGTGATGCCACAGTGAACACAGAAAGACTGATATAAAAAAAATATAAGTTTTGCAGGCATATAGGTGCTTGCCTCAGATTTTAGCTCAGGATACAGAGGCCAGAGGATCATGAGATGAATTCAAGGCTGGCCTGAGCTACGTAATGAGCCACTGTCTCATAATCAATTAACTAATTAAATCTACACAGTAGAACCCATAGCCTGAAGATTATTTTTTAAACTAGTCCATTTTTACTGGGTGTTGGTGGCGCACGACTTTAATCCCAGCACTCGGGAGGCAGAGGCAGGCAGATCTCTGTGAGTTCGAGGCTAGCCTGGTCTCCAGAGCGAGTGCCAGGATAAAAAAAAAAAAAAAAAAAAAAAAAAAAAAAAAAAAAAAAAAACGAATCCATTTTTAATGATTTTCTGATAGAAATTTCCTTTGCTTTAAAATAAAGATCAACCTCATTCATGAATGTGATAAAACACCATGACCAAGGCAACATAGAGAAGGGTTTGTTTGGGCTTATGGTTACAGAGGAATAAGAGTCCATGACCATTGTAGCAGGGAGCATGGCAGCCGGCAGGCATGGAACTGGAACAGCAGCTGAGAGCTCACATCATTATCCAAAAGTAGGAGGCAGAGAGCCTGCCCCCCACCTCCTCTAAGAAGGCCACACCTAATCTTCCCAAACAGTTCCACCAGCTGGGACCAGACGTTCAAAGATATCCTATGGGGGCCATTCTTATCTAAACTACCACAACATAGGATACTATTTGGGAGAGAACTTTGTTAACCATTGGAAATTCATATCAGCTTGAGGATGTACCTTTAAAGGGGGGGGGGGGGGGGGGGGGGGGGGGGGGTAATTAGGAGGTTTTATTTTACCTGAGCTATGGGTTCCACCAAGTCACAGCAAAGTTCTGGACAGGGTACAGAAGAAATGGTTTCTAGAACGCAATGTCCTTGTGTGATAAAGCTGTATTCCAATGTGAGCTTGCAGCCTTCTAGAACTCAGTGCTCTTGTTTCTGTTGCCATTGATTCCAAACACGTTTACTGAAGCTCTGGAAGGTTCCCTGTTGGACATTCTACCATATCAGCTCTTCTCCAAGCCACTTCTCTGGCTTACATGGATTTCTTCATTGATTAACTTTTTGTGATTACTATACTGAAGGATATTGGAAACAGATTGTTCATGTTCACAGAGCCAAATTATGATTTCGGAAAGGACTTATCAGATAAACAAGCACATTTTTATTAGAGCCTCAACACATTTTAGATTTTTGGAGACATCTGCTGCCTGTATAGAAGATACCAAATCAAGGAATTTAATCTTTCACTTTTTTATCATTTTCATAACTCTGTGCCCTTTACAGCATGATACTAAGGCCCAAACAGCTATTCTTAGTCTTTGGTAAACAAGGTAGGATAGAAGTTGTCCGGTGTGCGGGGCAGGTGTGTAGTGTTAAGATTACTACAGTGTTTTTTATTTTATTGCCTTTACATTTGCAAATTCTAAATGCTATATGTGTTTTCCTCACAAGTGTCTAAATGGGAAAAACATCAACAATGATGTCAAGGCCACAGAGAAGTTGTAGACCAACCACTTAATAAAGATTCACAGTGAGGCTGATCCTGACCCTCCTGACTGGTTTTGAACTTGTGTTCCAAGTTTTTTTTTGCTTGTCCATCTGTTGGTACTTTTACTGTTTTTTAGGTCTGGGGAATCAGGCCCAGTGCCTAGTGTGCTAGACAAGCTCCCACGCTACACCCACCACTGGGGGTTACCCTTCCCTTTTCCCTTGGCCATGACTGTATTCATAGTATTTGAACTCCAAGAATAAAATAATGGGTATTGATTCCAAAGTTCTGGAGTCACTCTCATGTGAATTTAGTTCCTTGATTTATAGACTGATATTTTAAAAACTGTTATTCAGTGTAATGGTGAAGGATTCCCATAATGGATGGACCTGCCTCATGGCCTTGTCATTGTCTCATAGATCTGGGAATAGCAATTCTTCATTTAAGGTGTCCAATTTATATTACATTTTTATTTACCTATGCATTTACCTATGTAGGAGGGCATGTACTTTGAGTGTGTGCACTGTGCATGGTTGCACACATGTGGAGGTCATACGACAACTTGTGGGAGTCCTTTCCTTACGCCATGTTCCCCAGGATTGAACTCAGGTCATCAGGCTTGATGGCAGGCACCTTCTCCCACTGAGCCATCTCCTGTCTAAGATGTTCAGTTGTTATTTATTTACTTAATTATTTTAAGGCATTTTTTTTATTCTTCTCTCGTATCCTGACCACAGTTATGAACCTCTTTCTTTCAGACCTTCTAAGCCATGAAAATGCAGCAACCCTGAATGATGTGAAGACGCTGGTCCAGCAGCTCTACACCACGCTGTGCATCGAGCAGCATCAGCTCAACAAGGAGCGGGAGCTCGTGGAGAGGTTAGAGAACCTCAAGCAGCAGCTGGCCCCCCTGGAGAAGGTGAGGACCCATCAGACATCCCCCGCATCCCCAATGTTGCATCCCTCACTCGCTAGTACACTCGTGTCTCACTTTGATATACTTGAGTCTGCTTATTCAAATTGGTCCATTAGCTTATTGGTCTGAACCATCCAAAAAGTTTCAATCAGAGCCAAAAGAGGACTCAAAAGGGATTGTCTGGAGCCTTGGTAATAGACCAAGATTCCAGAGGCCCATTTGTACCTTTACCACTGCTAATACAAAGACTAGAGTAACTGCTGACTGGGAGAGCTTCTGAATATAGTGGATGCCAGGTTATAAATGAATATTGTGTGGAATACTATTATGTAAATTTGATTCACTATAGAAAGTATCATTGGTATAGAAAGTAAATCCTAAAGTCATCGTGGATATGCTCCACAGGGTTTTTTTTTTATTATTTCATTTATTTATATGTGACTGTGTGGGCACACACATGCCATGATAAGCACATGGGGACAACAGAGGACAATGTGCAGGAGTTGGTTTTGTTGTGAGAACCTCATAGAGTGTATTTGCATAGACCTAGTTGGTCTGGTCTTCCCTCAGCATGACCTCTTGATACAGAGATGTGGTGACCCTACATGTATGAGGCTTGTGTAGCTGCCTCTAAATAACAATAGAAAGTATAGTTTAGAAAATACCATTGCTAGTAGCATAGCTGTTCATTGCCTTCAAGAATCATGCCACTCTTGCCTGTATCAATGGTACGGTGGGCTTACTTACTCCAGCATCGCCACAAACAAGTGAATCCTATACTGTTCTGTGGAAGCGCATCAAATACACAGTCCCTCACTGTCCAAAACGTAGTTGTGTGACATGTGACTATATTTTCATTTTAAGAAATTGGATAATTGGGATTGAAGAAAGGAATAAGTCCCTTCAATATTGTGCCTCCACTCTCCTAAGGACAGTTGTTATCATATGTCATCTACCGGGAGCCACAATCACGTGGTGTCTTGTTCAGCCTTTAGAACTACTCGATAAGAAAGCTAGTGGCCATAGGAATGGACTTTGGGAGCCCATTTCACGCAGAGGGATACTCCCTCAGCCTAGACACACAAGGGGGAGGGCCTAGGCCCGATCCCAAAGGATATGACAGACTCTGAAGACCCCCTATAGAAGGCCTCACCCTCCCTGGGGAGCAGAAAGGGTATGGGATAGGTAGGGTGTTAGTGGGGGGCAGGGGAGGAGGGGAGGGAGAGGGAACTGGGATTGACATGTAAAACAATCTTGTTTCTAATTTAAATTTTAAAAATGGAGGAAAAAAAAAGAAAGCTAGAGACATTCTGCAGATCTCATCCTGAACTCCTTTGCCCAGAATTCACAGTCAGTGCCAACTCACTCTGTCTTTCTGCCCTGGGGTAAAATGTGAATTAAAACTGATAATAGATGGAATCCGACACACCTCTAAGCCAAGGCAGCTTTTATTCTCCTCTTTCAAAAGTTAGGCTTGCAGTCAGATGAAGAGCTGTTGAAACTCACACTCATATTGCCACCAGCTTCTAGGGTAAAACTTGAAGAAAGCACACAGAAATCCTAGTTGTCCCTGTAGACACTGTGTTCTGTGAACACCCCCCACAGTTATTTAGGAGGCAGGTTACATTTGCTGGCGTGGAGTCCAGCTTGTTGATAAGCCCCGTTCCATTTGTGGACATAGGGCGGTTTAAAAGTGTTGTAAGCTGTTTCCAAAACAAGTGCCTTAAAGTTGTCCGTGTGTGCCCACCAGGTACGAATTGAAATCAGCAGGAAAGCTGAGAAGAGGACGACTCTGGTGCTATGGGGTGGCCTTGCCTACATGGCCACACAGTTTGGCATTTTGGCCCGGCTTACCTGGTGGGAATATTCCTGGGACATCATGGAGCCGGTCACCTATTTCATCACATATGGAAGTGCCATGGCCATGTATGCATATTTTGTGATGACACGCCAGGTAAGATGCCTCTCCAGGGCTCTTTACAAACCCGGAGTGAAGTTTTCCAGACCAGTTCTCACTTACGTGCTGGCACTGTTGCAGGTGCTAAAGATAGAGAGGGATGTGTGTAACATGGTCTTGGTCACTACAAATCACGTGCTTAACATTGTAATAAGACAAGTGGGAACAGAAGTGTGTGCCACCATAGGGGTCATGTTCAACTTTTTGCTTGATATTTATTTATAATGCTTTTTTACAATGCTGAGGTTCAAACCCAGGGCCTCATATACACTGTCACTTCTTCATCTCCAGCCATAATGGCTTGATTTTCTATACATTTATGTAAATATTTTACATATAAATATATGCCATCCAACTTTTTTCCTAAAAGAAAGGTGAACCGTAAGAACTCGGTCACTTTATCCTGAGTCTATCCTTTATCAACCAAGGCCACCTCAGTGAATACTAGTATCTTGAACCAGCTTTTGTTGACAGTTCAAGGGTCATGGAAACCCAAGGTGTCATTTTGAGAAGCACAATGGGTTATGGCTTTTTTTTAATGTGGTGCCGGTGATTGAACCCAGGGCCTCTCATATGTTAGACACACACTCCACCACTGAGCCCCTATAAGGACTTGTCATTATGTCTGTTATACTGGATCTAACCAGCATTGACTTGAATAAGAAACATTTGAAGCAGCAGAGACACACAAGATTCCCCAGGTTCTCTTTGTGCCTAAAGCAGGCTAAGAGTTGCTTCATGAATTTTACATGGATGCTTTTGAACAAGGCATTTTCCTCTGTTATTAGATCAGTGATCATGGACCTAGGCACGTGTCGGGAAACAGAAGCTTGGGAATTTTGTGTAACCTTTCTCGGCCTCCCAAACATACCTAGTAGAGAAGGGGAAGTGAAGTGTCTATGTCTTCTGAATTCTCACCCAGGTCCTGCTGTGCTCCTGTGACTCATAGTAGTCCCGAGTGAACAGGGCTAGCAACCACGTCATCCTACCCAGCTGCCTCTCTGGAAGCAGCGTGCCTCAGTTTCCCTCTCCTTCCTCCCCAGCCTGGACTTTCATAACTGATTGCTATCCATCCTTAAATGTCTCTCAGCTCCATGTTTGCACTGTGTTCTAGTCCCCAGAGATGCCCTTCAGTCCCTCTGCCCCATTCCTCTCCTCACCATCCTTCAGTCTGGAAGGTTCTCCCTGCTCTTTTCCATCTGTCATATATCAAGGGTTACTTAAACTCTCACCTTTCATGAATGTTTGATCATTTTCCTACAGCTCAGTGTCTCCCTTTTCTCTTGAATCATTGCAGTTTTTTATGCTCTCATTTTTCTTGTCCTGTGCTGTCTAATAATTATTTGTTCAATGTCTTTTCCTTCAAATGAGACTATAATATCATCTTTGTGTGGATATTTATTTATTTATTTTAGTGGAAGGCGGTGGTTTGTTTACTGAGGGACAGGTTCTCACTTTGTAACTCAGTATGGCCTGAAGTTTGGGATCTTCCCACCTGGGCCTCCTAGGTGCTAAGGTTACAAGTGTGTTCTCCCACACTGGCTTAGTCAGGGGGCCATTCACGTGTTACTCCCTTATCCTGTAACATGGTACCTTATTCTCACACCTTCCCCAAGGTGAATCACGTATCATGCATTTTATATCTAATAGCATAAATATATATCACTCATTTATTTAGTCTCAATTCTATAAATACATATCCATTCTACAGATGAGTAAGTCAGGCTCGTTAGGATAAGAGTTGAAAACTGTAGGTCCGAGAACTGAACCCAACTGTGTTCTGCCCCGAAGCTTCTCTTTCCTATAAATTACCATGTTCCCTTTGTAGAGTTCATTTGTGTGTGGTTATTTCTGAAGACTAAATAATCTGGATCTAGAATAATAGTAGACGTATTGAAGAAGCTAGGTATGTGACACACACCATATTCTAGTGCTTGGGTAACAGGGAGAAGATTGCTGTAAATTCAAGGTCATCCTGATCTACATAGAGAATTCTAGGCCAGCTTGAGCTGGGAGAGCTAGGCTGTGGGGGAGGTGATCACTGCCACTGAGAGCTCCTCTTTGTACCTGTTCACCGGGGCTTCACAGGGTTAATCTGGAACACAGTGGCTGCACTTTCTACAGTACCATGTATCTTTAATACTGTGTCCACCCTGTGTGTTAGATGCTCCACTTCCAGAATATTGTTGCTGCCCCCATGTGACAAGTTGTGATATAGCAGTAGCAAACATTTGGTCTCACCTCTGACCAGAAGAAACATTAGCCGAATTAAGAGCAAAATGACTGCTAAGCGACATCTAAACTCTTCTAAATTGATACAGTGATATGCTACATTCGTTCTCAAAGAATCTTTGTACAATGGCCAATTCCTTGAAATAATAAAATTCCATGAATCCAGGCTTGCTAGCACCCGGCTTAGCAGTGGTAGAATAGACGGATATACACTGTGACTTGGGCTGCAGTATAATACAACGTGGCAATAAGAAATGAATAGACTCTGACTACAAGAGAACAATCAAATCCTGGCACAGTGGCAAGTGTCTGTAGTCCCAGATGCTGGGGAGGATGAAGCAGGAGGATGGCTTGAGCCCAGGATCCAGGCCAGCCCAGGAAATATATAGGAACTTGATCTCAAAACACAGAAGGCAAACAGATGTTTAAGAAATAACTAAATATGTAACATGGCATACAGTTCTGTCTTTATGTATACATATTGTGTTGAGTCTAACCAATGTTAATAATGAACCAACAGTTAATAAATGTCTTTAGAATACTACTAGTGAGGACTAATAGGCTAATTTCTCTTTTGTTTTGTAGGAATATGTTTATCCAGAAGCCAGAGACAGACAATACTTATTATTTTTCCATAAAGGAGCCAAAAAGTCTCGTTTCGATCTAGAGAAATACAATCAACTCAAGGATGCAATTGCTCAGGTAAATACTAGAAGAGTTAAATGAGCCTAGCCCCATCTTAAATAGCATCATTATTATTCATAGTCATAGTTCTTCAGCTGGGCAGCCTGAAGGAGGGATCCAGCCACTATACCCTGGGTAAAGGTGGTTAATACAAACTTTAGCAATGGACACTTAGCTAGAAGGTTTTCTTTTTCTTTTTCTTTTTCTTTTTCTTTTTCTTTTTTAAGGAGGTTGGTTTCTTGTTAGAAGAACATGTTTTCTGTTTGTCTATTTTAAGGCACTGTCTTCTGTAACTTAGGCTTTCCTTGAACTCACTACATAGCGGTTAGGATGACTTGAACTTCTGATCTTCCTGCCTCCACCTTCCAAGGGCTAGGATTGACTGTACATCAGGTTTATGAGATGCCAAGGATTGAGATCAGGCCAGCTGAGCTACATCATGGCTGTTGTTGTTGACGATGTTTGAGAGACATGTCTGGATGTGTACCTTAGGCTGATGTTTACCTCCAGTGATCCTCCTGGCTCAGCCTCTCAGCTACTGGTACTGGGTTGACATCAGTGTGCCCCCACCACCTCTAGTTTTCATACTTAAGTAGATGAAAAGATGTCAAATCCCAAATCTCAAATACAGTTGTGTCAGCCCCGCCCACAGCTAACTCATACAACTCTCAAGGATGAGGCCCAAGCATGTGAGATGCTTCGAAGATGCTGTGGTCAACTGCACATCCTCCTTTTAACACTGCTCTAGCTGGTGTGAAAACTCATGCCTATGATCCTAGCGCTGAGGCAGGAAGGCTGCTGTGGGTTTGAGGCTAACCTAGGCTACCGGCTGAGACTATCTGAAAGAGCAACAGCAAAGTCGAGCAGAGCCTGGTAACACACACTTTTAATCCTAGCACTCTGGAGACAGAGGCTGGTGAATCACAGGCAAATGAATCTCTTGAGTTCAAGGCTAGCCTGCTCTACATAGTAAGTTCCAAGACAGTCAGTGCTTCATAGAAAGACCTATCTAAAAAAAAAAAAAAAAAAAAAAAAATCACTGACTGAGTAAAATATTGAGTAACCAAAGTCTTAAATGGCAGAGGTTTGATTCCTCCTAAAGGTTTTTGAGGAATACTGTCACGGATGTCTGATATGGTCCCTGTATTCTTAGGCTGGGGTCTTTATACTGGCCATGGCCGTTCTGCTTTTCTGGGAGGATGGACAACTGTCTTGGGTGATAGACATTTGTCTTCCACTTTTCAGCGTCCCTGAGGAAGTCTTCTGACTGTAGTAATGACAGAGAGGCTGTTCCCTCTCTCCGGAGGCAGGCATGTTGCTGAAAGTGTGACTGGCCACCCTTGCTCACCTGCTGTCTCTATTTTAGGCAGAAATGGACCTTAAGAGACTGAGAGACCCGCTGCAAATACATCTGCCCCTCAGACAGATCGGAGAAAAGGACTGATCTGCGAAGATCGTGAATCCCAGCAGAGAAAGCACCTGTTTTAACTCATGCCTTTTTAATCAAAGCATTGCAGGTGGAAGCGGGGGCCACATGGGGGAGAGGGTTTTTACCTTTAATTCTAAAACAAAACACGAAAAGGATCTTAGGGAAGAAAGGGATGTTAAATTCTGAGGATCAGGCATCATGGAATACAAGTGCAAAGGGCTTTGTGAATCTTGTCTTAAGCATCTCCGTTTCCAAATGAGAATGACGCAGTTACAGCTGAGAGAACGAAGCAAGGTTGTTGCTGGGGTGTTTGTCTCTTGCATCTTTGCAAGTTCTGCAAAACACTAACACACCAGCACCCCACTAAGATGCAGTTTTCTTTTTTGCTTTTTTTTATTTAAAGTTTCTTTTTTTTGACATAGGAATAAATAACTATATAAGAAAGCAAATCCTTATGAATTGTGGTTGGCAGAGTCTGAGCCAGTAAGGTTAGCCTTCATCTTAAGCTGGACCCAGTCTCTGTGAAGTTACCAGGAATCTCTCCATCCTGAGTCCCTCTTCTGACCAGCTACCTACTTATGTAAACCTGCTGGTTACACTACTTTTATCCAAATAATCATTGGAATCAACTTATGACTGTTTGATGATTGACAGTTGGATTATCTCTTCATGAGTTCTCATGTCTATCTCCCAGGACTCTGAATTGCTCGCTGTTTAGAAATCACTGGCAACTGCATGAGGTTTTAATTGTCTTTTGTTTTATTTTTTTTTTTACTAATTAGTCTTCAGAGAAGGAAAAGATTCCCTTCTTTATATACTGATCCCATTGATAACCCCCACTTCTCCCATATCACAGGTCAGAGGGCCAGTGTTCATCTGTGTTACCAAATGAGGAGGGTGTAAGGTTTACAAATCAGCTAAAAATCATGACTCCACAGCTGATTCAGAACCGAGATAACCTTGGTTAGTCTAAGACACACACTTCCTCACCATTGTGAGCCCTCCCGACTCTATCACTACAGTGGCTGTAACTCAAGGGCGGATCTCAAAGGGTGCAGTTATCTTTATACATGAATACCTTTCTATGGCTTCCTTTAGCCTACCTTCTCCACCCTGTTTTTTTTTTTTTAATATTAAATTGAGAGACAGAAGAATTAATCTTATACTCTTATCAGAATGTTTTCTACTATATTTCCAGATGGCACCTGCACTCGAAAAGCCTAAGAAATCTCTATCTACTGTCATGTTTTTAACTGTTTCAGGGGCAGGACGGCAAGAATGATGGGGGTGTGCCAAGCAGCTGATTGGTTTTTGGCTTTTTCTTTTCCCTTCATGTGATTCATCCCTCCTTGTGGGGCAAGGGATTCCCTTTTCCTCCTCCTTTTGGGATCGTTGCGTATGAAAGAAAACCTTCAAATGACAAACCCAGACTCCAGGTGTCTTGCAGAGGTTGAAGGCCAACCTGGACTGCTGCTTCTGACAGCACCCTTCACTGGCATGACAGAGAGAGGATGCATGTCTCAGTCCCCAGCCTCCTACTTCCTTCCTGTTGTTCACCCTCTTCCTCGTCTCTTTTTGTTGTGTGGGTTATTTTTAAACCATTCATCCTGTCTGTGTGCAGGGTTCTTAAGAAGGAGAGGCACAGTGCAATGAGTGATTCCTCTGGGCGGTGTGGGAGGCAGGGGGGGTGTGAGCAAAATGTTGAACACATGTACAATCCTGTATCATTTATGAAATATGTATAAAAAGCAATGTACCTTCTGGAACAATAAATACTTATTCGATTTTTGAATCATCTTGTTCTTTAAAACAAAACCAGAAAGAAACTGACTTTCCTGTGATTGTGGCTGGGAAGATCTTTCTGTCTGAAGTTAGATTTTATTTATATAGGCTGAGTGTGGCGGCATACACACTTAATCTTAGCATCCGCTCAGGAGGCAGAAGCAGGTAGATGTCTTGTGAGTTCTAGACCAGCAGGTGCCAGGCCAGCCAGAGCTACAGAGTGAAACCCTGTTTCAAAAAACAAACAATGAAATAAGTAAAAGTAGATTTTATATAAAAAATAGCAGTATCAAATTAAGCTTTCTTCCTAAGCCTATATGCCACTAATTCTTACCTAACATAAGTGAACATTTCCACAACCACCTAGATGTCATGTTACCTCTATAGTCAGTATAAAGCATTATTATATCTGATATCCTTGCCTTGTAACATACAGGGAGGGGAAAAATCACTTCTATTCATTCTACCTTGATTACCTGGTACTCCAGAAAGCTGTTCATAGATAAACCAAATATCCATTATTTTCAGAAGTTGAATCAGATTTATAATGATTGCTAACTAAACAGGAAATTATCATAGAGGACCACCTTTGTCAAAAGTGCATCAACAAAACAACATGGTATCTGTCTGTGAAGAATGAGCTGCTGCTCAGAGCCTATAGAGTGAGGGTCCATCTCCCTGCAGCTTACAGAACCTCACTGGACACCGCTGAGGTAAAGGAAGTGTAAAGGAAGGGTGAAAATGTGGGGCCACCGTTTACAGCATTCTGTTCTACTTTGCCTGGGGTTATTGGAGACAGATGAAGAGCAAAGTATAATTGGGCTTCTCCATGGTTGGGCAACTAGTTATTCTTTCTGAAATGACTGTGTTGTCTGTAAGGTGTGGGTTTGTATGGGAAATAATTGAGATAATGCATAAGCTCTGCTACATGGTGCTTTGCAGATTATCCAATAAGAAGTAGGTATTCGTTGAAAGCAACAAACAGAATGGCTGTATGATTCAGCAATCCCACTTCTAGGCATGTGCCGGAAAGAATTTGAGGATTCAAATAGTGACTGTGTTATTCAGCTTGGCCAAAGAATGGAGGAAATGCAAGTGAACTACTATTTATACAGAGTAGCAGCCAAGGTTCCGGGAACAGATGGACAGATGTGACCTGTAAGTACAGTGGATGCTACTCAGCCATGAAAGATGGAAATTCTGACATGCTGTAACATGGATAAACTTTGATGAAAATATGATAAGTGAAAAATATCATAAAAGAAAAACACTTCATGATCCTACTTGTGTGAAATACCTAACCGAATTCACAGAAATACAGGTAATATTTTGGGGGAGATCAGAGAATGAGGAGTTACTGCTTAAGAGGCATAAAAGAGTTTTCACCTGGGAAGATGAAGTTCTGGAGATTAGTGGTAGTGATGGCTGCACAAAAGAATAAACTTAAAGCCACCAAACTAAACATTTAAAGACTATTCCGGGGGCAGCTTTATGTTTTGCAATAGTTTGCTACATTATGAAGGTTTGAATCCCTGCTAGAGCCAGGATGGTTGGCTTGGTTTGTCACTGAGGGGGGCAATGCAGTTGGCTGAGGGAGCTCCTAGAGCTGAGACTAGTAGAGGGCTCCCAGAAACTGCTAGAAATGTAAGTTCTCAGACCTCTGTGCAGCTGGCAGTTGGTAGCTGGTGTCAGCAAGAACTGCTGATCATTCTGCTGAGACTGTTGAGCCATAGCTCTGGAGAAAAAACTCGAAGAGAAGAAAGCTCCATCACACATGTGCTGTGACTCCAGTGAGCCCCAAAGTCCAATACTGGACCAGCTGAAGGGTTAGTGAGTATGTTAACTGGTGAGCAACATGGGGCCAGTGAGAAAGTCGGAGTCTAGTGAGAAATCCTGGGTCCAGGATGTGGTGCTCAGTGTGTAGATAAATGCCTTCAAATACAAGTATAAAAAGGCTGGGTTTTATATGTATCTAGAAGGATTTCACAGAATCTTTAGGTTTTCGGTCTCACTTTCACTCCAACTCCACCCATTTCTTTTCATTAGTTAAATGTGTTGACTGACAATTTCAAGCGTGTACACAATGTTTACTGACTACTTACCCCCAACCCTCTCCCATATCCCTACTGCAACTGTTTCTCTCTTAATTCCTGTCTATACATTTTATTTTGTAACCAACTGAGTAGTTTAACCAGGGGCCATCTGAGTGACCATGGAGCCACCCATCAGAGCCTGGGGCAGCTCAGCAGTATAAATACTACCAAAGACAGTGACTGCCCCTTTCCCAGAATCTTATCAATAGCCAATAGTTCAGCAGCAAGGGATAGTGTCTCATGAGCCCTTCCCCCACCTGTGACATTGTTGACAGGGCCAGTCTTGTGCAGGTCAGTACAGGTAACCATGGTGGTTAGTTCATGTTTGAAATTGTTGTGTCAAGTCTAGATGGCATCTCGCCCCATCTTCTGGCTCTTACATCTCCTGTCCCGTCTTCCTCAAAGTTCCCTGACCTTTACAGGGGAATGATATAAATGCCATTGATTTTTTTCACTGCCACCAATCTTTATATCTTTCTTCTCCCAAATAAGTCACATACGGTGTCTTCCACAAAACACCTTTTGGGTTACTAACTTGGGATCATACCAAATGTAAAGTTACCTCTTACTTTATTAATTAATATTTGCATATCATTTGCACATGCTTTATAAGCATGGTGCAAGCTAAACAGGGCCATCTCCTTCAACCATCTCAGCTCCTGGGACTCAGCTCTTGGATTTCCCTCCTTCAGTCCCCAATTTCTTGGTCTTTGCAGTCTCCTCCTGCAACCATATAATTTGTGTTAACTTCCCACCATGCTCTATCCTGAAGTATCCTTGGACAATCTCACCCATTGCCCCATCTCAGGTACCATTCATGTGTTGAAAGCTGTCCCCATGCTCTGTCTCTTAGAACAGCAAACTGATTTACCTTCCTCTTGGCTGAGATGTGGTAAGTTCCTTCCATGTCACCAGGGTATTTGGAGGTGTAAATACTAATAACATTAACTATGGGGGTGGGGAGACTAAAAGACACAATAAAGAAGCAATCAATCAAATCTGAAATATGGAACATTCTACAAGCTGATGGTTAGATGACCAGACATTTTTCAGCAAATGGTACAGAGGAGGAAGGAAGGGCGACATAAGAATTTAAGTGACACAGCAGAATGCGGCATATTGTAAAACTCTGTTGAATCCCGATTCAAACTAGCAATAAAAACGAACATTTGAAACTACTGGGAAAGTTAAACATGGGCAGGGTTTCAAATACAGAAGCATTTTTACTGCTTTTCATAGCTGTAATCACAACCTCGTGGTTACATAAATAAGAAAGGCATCTTAGGAATGCATAGTGGAATATGAACAAAATAAAATTAGTAAAATGTTAGTGAGCTTTGCAACTGGATGTTCAGCATTGTTCTTATGACTTTTGTATATATTTAAATTTTTTTAACCAGTTTTTAAGGCAGGCCAGCTAAAAGAAAGAGAGCTGGGGGAAGGGGAGAGAGATAAGGGTGTGTGTGAGTGAGAAAGAGAACCCTGCCATCCCTGGGATTCTTGTTTATAGAACCAAGAGCTATCTGGTGAAAGTCCTTGACTTCAGCTATCAATCTTGGCAACAAATCTGGGTTTATCTCATGAACACGTCCTTTGTTTTTCTAAAACGCACATGAAGCACTCAGATGGCTTCTCAGGGACAGGAAATGGTGAGGCTTGTTTTTTTTTGTTGTTGTTCTGTGAAAAGTATTGCCCTGCTATGAGAGTCCCACCATCATCCATCACTGCCATCAAACCACAGCTAAAGAAGTTAATGACATGAAATGTAAAAGGTAAATTAATAAAAAAATTTTAAAAGATGACATGCAAATGGCCAATAAACATGAAAAAATGGAAGAAGGAAGAAGAAGAAGAAGAAGAAGAAGAAGAAGAAGAAGAAGAAGAAGAAGAAGAAGAAGAAGAAGAAGAAGAAGAAGAAGAAGAAGCTGCTAATGGCCAAATCGCCTGAGTCCTCAAGGTGAGAAAGTAACTAACTGTGAGTTGAGATCCATGCAACCCCTTGTTTACCTGTAACTCCTGTAGGGACCACTTATTTACTATCACAATCTAGTAATTAGCATACCCTGGCCCTTAGTAAACACTAACAGTAGACTGTTAGTGTTTTCTGGTTTTAGAAGTTGGATTGGGAAAGAAAATTTATTTCCCTCAGATCCATTTAAAATTGTTCTTTTTTTCTTTTTCTTTTTTTCCCCTGGGTTTTTTGAGACAGGGTTTCTCTATGGCTTTGGAGGCTATCCTGGAACTAGCTCTTGTAGACCAGGCTAGTCTCAAGAGATCGGCCTGCCTCTGCCTCCCGAGTGCTGCACCAACACTGCCTGGCAAAATTGTTCTTTTTTTAAATTTATTTATTTACTTATTTTACATATTGACAGAAGCCTTCTCTCCCTCTCCTCCCTACCCCCCCCCCCCCCACACACACACACTTTTCTGCCTCTCCTCAATCCTCTATATTCACTCAGAAAGGGGCAGGCCTTTCCTGGGCATCAGCAAAGCATGGCATATCAAGCTGCCATAAGACCAAACACCTCCCCCTGTATTAAGTGTGGACAAGGCAATCCAGCATGAGGAATATGTTCCCAAGAGCTAGCCAAAGCACCAAGGACAGCCCATGCTGCCATTGCCATGAGTCCCACAAATAGACCAAGCTACACACTGTCACACATGCGCAGAGGACCTAGGTTAGTCCCATGCAGGTTCCCTAGTTGTTGGTTCAGACTCTGTGAGTTCCCATGAGCCAGGCTAGCCATTTCTCTGGATTTTCCTGTGATGCCCCTGAACCCCTTGCTCCTACAATCCCTCCTCCCTCTGCTCAGCAGGACAACCTGAGGTCAGCCCAATGTTTGACCATGGGTCTCTGAATCTGCCTCCATCAGTCGCTAGAGGAAGGCTTTCTGGTGACAATTTCTGGCCCACCCCT